TTTATGCTATTACTTATCACATTATATCTTCATTATTTTTTATCCTCACGATCATTTTCGAATTTCGGAATAGCCGATGCTATGGAAACGCCGGCCGGAAATATAAACATGCAAAAGCAAGTCTGCAAATTCCAAAGCAGAGCGCGAACGAGGAATTTGCGAGAGCGTGCCGTTTTGATCATATATGATCCGATTTAGAATTATAACGCGACGAAACGCGACACTACTAGAATACTATATAAAAACGGTCGCTAAATCACCGAGAGTGGGCAGTTACAATACGTAACAGGGCAGTTGTACTTCATCACGGCCAGTCGTTATCAGTAATCAATGAGATTTACACGAAACATTCAAGAAGTCGTACCAATAAATCAGCTACTTAACAAAAGTGAGTAATAATATTTGATCAGAAGAATCTTCCACCTATGATCCTGCTCGGAATTAGCATTGATGTCGGATGGTGAAATAAATAGAAATCGATCCCTTAGAAATATATTATAGTTACATGGCGAGCGAATACAAAGAACGCGAAGTCCTGTCTCCGTGCGTTTAGTCCAAGAAGCTGTGATACGCGACATCTGCGATAGTGCGTCGAAATTTAGAAATGCGACATTCGGATGAGAGCTTATTTGGGGATCAATCATGTAACTTTACGTGAAATTTTTCACTTTTTATTTTTCACTTTTTACTTTTCATTTTTCACACCTTGACATTTCACGTGAAATTTTTCACGTACAGCGATTATGTATGTAGCTTGGATGCATGGAAAGTGAAATCATGAAACATAGTTTTCATAGATTTTCATAGCTAATGAAAATTATTTTATTGGTACAGTATTATATACATCTTTTAATAACCAATTGTATATGTACTACGTATACTTAATCCTAACGCAGCCCTAATCTTCTCTAATTCCGAAGCATCTTTATTAATATATTATATTCCCTAGATTTCCGCCTTTCCGCCATCAAGGTACATGACGAAAAAGTTCACGTGAAAAATTTTACATTTTCACGTTTGAGAGAGTTATATGATCCCGCAAAATCGTACATGATCGTAAGTTCACGTGAAACTTTTCACATTTCCACCCTAGAGGAAAAGTTATCTATTAAAAGTTAGCCCCTCACTTTTAGAAATAACTTATTTTGAGAGTTGTGCTGAATTGTGCTAGGTTTGTGCTACATTGTGCTCGAATTTAAAAATCGTAATGTGAAAAATGTCATAAAAAATGAAAAAAAAACGACATTTTAGGCTAGTCCTCCACTTTGCGATTTTTTTAATTTTCT